CCTAATAAAGGAATTGCAGGGTCAAATGGCAGGTCTATTTTTAGTTCTCTAAGTGTTCTCCAGATGTCTTTCCAAAAGGAACGTATTAGTTTACATTCCCACCAGCAGTGTAGGAATGTTCCCTTTTCTTCACATCCACGCCAGCATCTCTGGTTTTGGGATTTTGTGATATAGGCTAATCTCACTGGAGTTAGATGATATCTTTTTTTTTTTTTTTTAAATAGATAGAGTCTCACTCTGTTACCCTCAGTAGAGTGCTGTGGCCTCACACAGCTCACAGCAACCTCCAAATTCTGGGCTCAGGAGATTGTCTTGCCTCAGCTTCCTGGGTAGCTGGGACTATAGGTGCCCGCCAGTTTGCTGAGGGTTTTTATAGACTCACGTGAGAATTTAGGTTAACGTAAAATCTTTCACATTGAATGCTGAAGTTCCTTTTTGAGTTTCTAACACAATATGCATGGATGGATCAAGGAGTTATAAGTCTATAAATTGCCTTCTTTAGTGGTTTCCTTATACTCAGATTCTATTCCTTATACTAGTGTACTTAGTAGTTCCACTATGAATTATTTCTATAAAAATATGAGACATAGAAATGTATATTTTGACTTGAATATTTGCTTTAAGATTTTCTTTGTAGAAGTTTAGACCTTTTTTTTTTTTTTTTTTTTGCAGTTTTTGGCCGGGGCCGGGTTTGAACCTGCCACCTCTGGCATATGGAGCCTGGCACCCTACTCCTTTGAGCTACAGGTGCTACCCAGAAGTATAGACTTTTATTATGAATTTAGCACATAGGAATTTGGTTTTAATTTGAAATTTAAGGTTTCTTTTAATTTTGTCTTTGGGCTCCGTGTCCTATGCTCAAATGGCTAAGGTGTCAGCCACATACTCCTGAACTCGCGGGTTCAAATACAGCCCAGCCTGCCAAACAACAATGATGGCTGCAATCAAAAAATAGCCGGGTGTTGTGGCAGGTGCCTGTAATCTCAGTTACTTGGGAGGCAGAGGCAGGAATATTGCTTGAGCCTAGGAGTTGGAGGTTGCTGTGAGCTATGATGCCATAGCACTCTACCCAGGGCAACAGCTTGAGGCTCTGTCTCAAAAAAAAAAAAAAATTTGTCTTTACAAGAAAGTATCTTAGCCAATAGTAAGTACATTTAACAAAGAGGGGCATTACAGTGGTGACCTTAAAATCGGTTCTTCTTTTCTTCATTTATTCTTTTTTTAATATATAGAATGCTCCATGAATTTGCCTGTCCTTCTAGCTCAGGGACTTTGCTTATCTTCTCTGTATCATTCCAGTTTTATTGTATGTGCTGTCGAAGTAAGCACCGTTCATTCTTCATGGAACAAATTTTTGTTAAGGTGTCTAGTATGTGTTATATCATTTTAGGCTCTGGAGACTATAATGATGAATAAAAACAGAGCTCTTCTTCTTACAATCTAGTGGGTGAGATAGACTTTAATTAATCAGTAACCAAAGCATATAATTACACATTGTGATAACTGCTATGAAGAAAATGTACAAGTTCTTTTGAAAGAGAAAAACATGGGGACCCAATTTGTAAAGGTGATTTAAAAAAGACCTTTCTAAGGAAGTGACATTTAAACTGAAACCTACAGGATAAGGAGTTTACTGGAAGGGAAAGGGAGTGGAAGGATTTCCAGGCAGAGGCAAGAGGTTTTGTGATATCATTTTATAGTACTTATGACCTTTTTAGATGCTTATATAATTAGGTACTAGTCTATGAGCAAGACGGTTTATAGAGCTGTGTTACTGAAAAGATACATATAAATTACATTTTTATAAATGAATTCCTGAATTCCTGCAGGCTTACATTATATTCACTGTGCTATATCATCTGCATTTGATTGATGTTCAGTTACTTCAATTATTCCTAGATTGATCTTGCCAAAGCACAACTTTGATAATGCTTTTTCCTGTTCAGAAACCTTTACCAGCCCTCAAATTACCCAATAAAATCCAGACTTCTCAGCCTTGTGGTCAAGCCCTCCTAAATTGGCCTGCCCTAGTTTCAGTATCTTCTACTTTAATTACTCTTCTTTCTTCAGAACACCATCAGTTAGCCAGAAGAACTTCTGGATGAATACGGGGGCCTTCTCAAATGCCCACTTTTGCCTTGTGTTGTTTCTCTTCCCTTACAATCTGTTCACCTCTTTCTAAGAATGTCCAGTTGCCATAAACATAGTTTATATCAATATATCCAGGCCCATTTCCATTGTTAACTATCTGATCTCAATGTGTTCTCTGATCACCCAGTAAGAAATAACTTCTTTTTCTTCTGTCTTTTTAAAAAAATTTTTTTATTAAATCATAACTTTGTACATTGATGCATTTATGGGGTTCAGGGTACTGCTTTGATATACAATGTGAAATGCTTACATTGAACTAAGTAATACATCCATCACAATTATACTCATTTCTTAATAGTTTTGAAATGTTCCATTGCATTATGCCCATTAGGTGAGGTCCCCCCAAATGCCATCCCTCTTCCCTCCCTGCCCTCTCTTCTCTTCCCTTCTACTGCCTGGACTATAGTTATATTTTGCCATTCATGTGAGTGTGTAGGTGATATATTGAAATATATTGTGTGTGTAGATATATATTGATTTCATGGAAGTATTGAGTACGTTGGATACCTTTTCCCCCATTCTTGAGATACTTTACTAAGAAGAATATATTCCAGCTCCATCCAAGTAAACAGAAAAGATTTGAAGTGTCCATCTTTTTTATGGCTGCATAGTATTCCACAGGGTACATATACCACAATTTGTTAATCCATTCATGGGTTGATGGGCGCTTAGTCTGTTTCCATGTCTTGGCTATTATGAATTGGGCTTCAATAAACATTCTGGTACAAATGTCTTTGTTGTAAAATGATTGTTGATTATCTGGGTGTATACCTAGTAGGGGAATTGCAGGATCAAATGGTAGGTCTACTTTTAGTTTCTTGAGTGTTTGCCAAACTTCTTTCCAAAAGATCGTATTACCTTGCATTCCCACCAGCAGTGTAGTTCCCTTCTCTCTGCATCCATGCCAACATCTGTAGTTTTAGGATTTTGTGATGTGGGCTAACCTTACTGGAGTTAGATGTTAACTCAGAGTGGTTTTGATTTGCATTTCTCTGATGATTAAGGATGATGAGCATTTTTTCATGTGTTTATAGACCATGTATCTATCTTTGTTAGAGAAGTTTCTCTACAAGTAAGTCTCTTACCCACATAGAAATAGGATTATTTGTTCTTTTCTTATTGATTAGTTTGAGTTCTCTGTAACTTCTAGTTATCAGACCTTTGTCAGAAGCATAACCTGCAAAAATCTCCCATTTTGAAAGTTGTCTGTTTGCTTTACTTACGGTGCTCTTGGCTATGCAAAAGATTTTTAGTTCGATCAGGTCCCAGTAATGTATTTTTGGTTTTGCTTCAATTCCCTGGGGGGTCCTCCTCATAAAATATTCTCTCAGACCAATTTCTTTAAGTGTTTTCCCTATACTCTCTTCTAGTATTTTTATAGTTCCATGTCTTAAGTTTAAATCTTTTGTCCAGTGAGAATCAGTTTTTGTTCATGGTGAAAGGTTGAGGTCCATTTTCAATTTTCTACATATCGCCAGCCAGTTCACCCAGCATCATTTGTTAAATAGGGAGTCTTTCCCCTACTGAATGTTTTTGATAGGCTTATCAAAGATCAGATGATGTTAAGTAGCTGGGTTCATCTCTTGGTTCTCTATTCTGTTGCATAAATTTACCATTCTATTTTTGTGCCAGTATTATGCTGGTTTGATCACTGTAGATTTATAGTATAGCCTGAAGTCTGGTAATGTGATACCTCCTGATTTGTTCTTATTTCTGAGTAATGTCTTGACTATTCGAGGTTTTTTTCTGATTCCATATAAAACAAAGTACTATTTTTTCAAGCTCTTTAAAGTATGACAATGGTGTTTTAATAGGGATTGCATTAAATCTGTAGATTGCTTTGGATAGTATGGATATTTTAACAAAGTTGATTCTTCCTAGCCATGAGTATGGTATGTTTTTCCATTTGTTAACATCTTCAGCTATTTCTTTTCTCAGAGTTTCATAGTTTTCTTTATAGAGATTTTTCGTGTCCTTTGTTAGGTAAATTCCCAGATATTTCATCTTCTTTGGCACTGTTGTAAAAGGAATAGAGTCCTGGATTGTTTTTTCAGCTTGACTGTTTTGGCACATATAAAAGCTACTGACTTGTAAGTATTGATTTTGTATCCTGAGATGCTGCTGTATTCCTTGATCACTTCTTAGAGTTTTGAAGCTGAGTCTCTGGGATTTTCCAGGTATAGGGATCATATCATCAGTGAAGAGTGAGAGTTTGATCTCTGCCCCTATTTGGATACCCTTGATTGCCTTCTCTTGCCTGATTGCGATGGCTAAGACTTCCATTACTATGTTGAATAGCAGTGGAGACAGTGGGCATCCTTGCCTCATTCCTGATCTGAGTGGAAATGTTTTCAATTTTACACCATTCAATATGATACTGGCTGTGGGTTTGCTGTAGGTGGCCTCTATAAGTTTAAGAAATGTCCCTTCTGTGCCTTTTTTCTTAAGTGTTCTGATCATGAAAGGATGCAGATATTATCAAAGGCTTCTTCCGCATCAATTGAGAGAATCATATGGTCTTTGTTTTTTATTTTATTTATGTGATGTATTCTATTTATAGATTTGCGTATGTCGAACCAACCATGTAATTGTGGAATAAAACCAACTTGATCATGGTGTGTAATTTTTTTGTTGTGTTGTTGAATTCTGTTTGCTAAGATCTTACTGAATATTTTTGCATTGATACTCATTAATGATATTGGCCTATAATTTTCTTTCTTTGTTGGATCCTTTCCTGGTTTGGAGATCAGTGTGATATTTGCTTCATAGAATGTGCTGGGAAGTATTCCTTCTTTTTTTATGCTTTAGAAAGTGTTATATAATAAGGTACTAGTTCTTCTTGAAAGGTTTGATAGAATTTGAATGTGAAGCCTTCTGGTTCTGGAATTTTCTTTTTAGGGAGATTTTGTATTGTTGATGCTATTTCAGTGGTTGATATAGGTCTATTCAAGGTTTCTAATTCTTTCTGGTTGGGTCTAGGAAGGTGGTGTGCTTCCAGGTATTGGTCCATTTCCTTTAGATTTTCATGGTTCTGGGAAGAGAGGTTTTTATAGTAATCATTGAGGATTTTTTTAATTTCTGAGGGGTCTGTTTTTATTTTTCCTTTATTGTTTCTGATAGATGACATTAGAGATTTTATTTTTCTATTTCTGGTTAGGTTGGCCAAAGGTTTATCAATTTTGTTAGTTTTTTTAAAAAAACAACTTTTTGTTTTGTTGATCTTCTGAGTGATTCTTTTTGTTTTCAATTTCATTTAATCCTGCCCTAATTTTGGTCATTTCTTTTCTTCTGCTGGGTTTGGGGTTGGAATGTTCTTCCTTTTCCAGTTGCTTGAGATGATCCATTAAGTTGTTGGCTTCCTTTCTTTCTGTTTTATTGATGAAGGCTTCCAATGCTATAAATTTCCCTCTTAGGACTATCTTTGCAGTATCCCACAGGTTTTGATAAATTTGTGTCTTCATCATCATTTTGTTTCAAAAATTTGGCAATTTCCTTCTTAATCTTGTCTTTGACCCAGCTATCAGTTAGCCTAAGATGATTTAGTTTCCACAACTTTGTTTGAGTATGAAGATTCCTGTTGCTGTTGAGTTCAACTTTTATTCTATGGTGGTTTGAGAAGATACAAGGAATCATTTCTATTCTTTTAAATTTGCTGAGGTTAGACTTATGTCTTAAGATATGATCTATTCTGGAGGATGGTATGTGAGCTGATGAGAAGAATGTATATTAAATTTTATTAGGGTGAAATGTTCTGTAGATGTCTGTAAAGTCCATTTGTTCTAGGGTCAGGTTTAAGCCTAATATTTCTTTGTTTAGTTTCTTCTTGGAGGATCTATCCAAAACTGCCAAAGGGGTGTTAAAATCTCCAACTATTATAGTGCAGGAAGATATCAAGTTGTTCATATTCATTAGGGTCTGCTTTATGAATTGAGGAGCATTCTTGGTAGGGTACATATATGTTAATTATAAAAATCTCTTCATGTTAGGTGTCTCCCTTGACCAATATGTAGTGTACTTGTCTTTCTTTAGCTTTGTTGGTTTAAAGGCAGTACATGGATGGAGCTGGAAAATATTCTTCTTAGCAAAGTATCTCAAGAATGGAAGAAAAAGTATCCAATGTACTCAGCTCTACTATGAAATTAATTTATAGCTTTCATAGGAAAGCTATAACCCAATTT